TAAAACTGTACCTATTGTCGAGGTTTCCACAGTCCCTAAAGACTGAGACTATTCACAAATTTAATATTATATTAAATTTCCGTATTGTGTGCTGTTGGGTATCATATTAGAAAGGAGCTTCACAATATTTTAAGACACACTTAACCACTAATTAGTTTTCTATTCGTGTTTACTAACAACTACAACAGTGGAACTGTTTAAAATGTAGAGATCCTTTACCTCTATGATCTCAGATCTGGTGTTGTTTATCTGTTGACCAGACCACACACTAGAAGGTGAAGGGACGACGACGTTTCGGTCCGTCCTGGACCATTCTCAAGTCGTTGTTTATCTATTTAAATGTTCGATACGTGGAAAATACCTCACAAAACTTCAAACACGGTATTCATGAACACATGGGTATGTCTTACCGAACAGGTTTGCCCCATAGGCAGGCTGCATCCTCTCCTATTTGAGATCACTGCGAGGAAATGCGGCTTCTTCTCACTTGCTGCGACTTAGCTGTTCTGTTGTCTGGTTCGTCACGATGGGAACTCAACATCTCGAATAGTATCTCAATAGTTAGAATGAGACCAGAGTTGAATGGCTCCGAGTCCTCGACTCAGTTGTTTACACAGTAATTATCTTCTTCTTTGAGGCATGTATGCCAATTAGTGAAAACGTCGAATGGTCAGATATTGCTCAAACTGCCCAACAGTTTTCAAAATATAAAATATTTGACTCTTGAGCGTTATTTTTTAGCCGAATTCTGGCTCATTGCACATATCTAGAGTTTTAAATTGCTAATTTTTATACTGAAAATATGCAAATTACTGAAAACCGGAATATATCAGATTTGTCTAGTTGTGTTTGCGGCGGTTGAGCTCTGGCTCTTTGGTCCCGCCTTTCAACTGTCAATCAACTGGTGTACAGATTCCTGAGCCTATTGGGCTCTATCATATCTACATCTGAAACTGTGTATGGAGTCTGCCTCCACCACATTACTACCTAATGCATTCCCTTTGTTAACTACTCTGACTTGTGTGTGTGTGTGTGTATTCACCTAGTTGTGCTTGCGGGGGTTGAGCTCTGCTCTTTCGGCCCGCCTCTCAACTGTGAATCAACTGTTTCTACTACTACTATTTTTTTCCACACCCCACACACACACACGTGTGTGTGTGTGTGTGTACATATATATGTATATGAAGCTTTCCATGGAGTTTAGCACCTCTTTTTAGTGTATTACATTGTTTACTATTTTTGCTCCTAAGAATATCTTTCTTATCAGATAATCAAGGGTCAGTAATAACTAAAACAAAATATCAATATATTTATTTGGAATGTGTGGACGTACAAAAGAGCTCACAGAGCCTGGCGAGCTCTGTTGATAAATTCACTCACTCACACAAAACCATACATGCACGCACGCACGCACGCAAACACACCAAAGAGCTGAAGCTCAACCCCCCACAAGCACAATTAGATGATCACACACACACACACACACACGCACGCACACACACACACATGCATCCAGCCTATAATCTCACAGCATCTCTTCCATCATCCATACTGATTAATAGTATTATAATTACCCTTAATCATCTCACTTTGTCTCAGTCCCCCACTTGCTTTAACGCCGCCCCCGTTCTCCTTTATTGAGCTTACCAGCACCAGAGAAAACCACCAAGCTTCATAACTTCGTCTGCATGATAGAACTGATGAGTTAGTCAAAACATTTGCTCATAAAGTGGGTATTGATTACCATCTTGGACTGCCTTTGAGCAGCCTGAGGGCAGTAATGTTCCGGGAATCTCAACAAAATCTCGTAGACTTGAGGCAGAGTCCAAAATCACACCAGTTACTCCATCTATTATCATTCTATTATGCAGGAAGAACCGCACGTCTATGGGTCATTCAATAAGGCTAGTAGACTTCTAGATGTTACCACTGCTAGGCTTAGGCTCGGCTACAAGTTCCTCTGGGAGTTTGCAGCTCTGGTGATGTAGATTTGACTAAATGTAAACTCTGTCAGCAGAACTATTCGCATACTTTGCGTCATTATTATATAATGGAATAGAAAAAATCGCGAATTTTAGAGATAACACCATAATGGTGTCTTAGAAATGTGTAAGTACTTCATTCATAATGATGTACTGACAGGAATCTTAGCAAAGTATCCAAAGCTTGCTAACTAAGTGCAGCCTGCACATGAATGTAAAGCTGCCGCCCAGTTGGGTGGGTGTGGAGCACATGACTAGTAACTGTGCGACTCAGCCATGAATGTAAAGCGCCTTGTATAGTTGACTGTTGTGAGCTCATGAATGGAAATCAGTTTGTGGGTGTAGCAAGACTAGTAACTTGATATATATATATGTATTTGCCTTGTACATGACTGTTGTGAGTGTGTGAATCACTTGTGATATATAAAATTCTTATATATATATATTTGTGTATATATGTGTGTGTATATATATATATATATATATATATATATATATATATATATATATATATATATATATATATATATATATATATATATACATGTGTATGTAATATTAACAATTGTGTAACTAGCTTCACAAGAATGTCACTTACTTAGCTGAACGTACAATGGACGAAGGGGTTCAGTTCCTGAACCGATTGTGTGCCTCTGTAACCCTTTCCACCACCGCCCACGGGATGGGTATGGGGTGCATAATACAAAATATACATGAAAATGTTAAAGGCAGTTCGTGTTGTGGATTCACTTTCTGAGTTTATTATACCTTCAACACCAATCAACCATTTTTTCCTATATCTTCATTATTTAATGAAGGTCAACCCGGATTTACGTACTATTTTTGTCCTGGACTATGTCCAAGACTAAAGTATAGTTGCTGGTTAGTCAGAAAGCTGTTGATGTGGTCTTACTAGCCCTCCAGAGGTTGCCATCAGCCCTGCACCAAAAACCATCACTTACATTCATTTATAAACCCCTTCACTTCCTTTATTTTCATGTACATGCCCTTTTGTGTTTAGTCTTTTGTAGCTTCTTTATCATTTATCCCGTTAACAATAGATTCCTTTATTACTATATTCATTTATATGTTAATTTATTTAATCTGTAGAACCATATTCATTGGTAATTCTATGCCATCTGTCCTCCACTCGCCTGAAGGAAGACAGAAGCAAAATTGTACATTAATTGAGTACAACTACGACAACTTCATCCAATATTTAAGCCTGCCTGTTTCGTCAAGACTTGCAGTAAACTATGGCAAATACTTCCCATCACTACAAGATCACGACTAGATAAGTATAATTTACTCATATATTTACAACTAGATGAGATATCTCACAGAACACCAAGAACATCATGACCACCTAGAAAGGACAACATGATTGAGGTTCAGCCAAAGGACAAGAGGATAGACGCTCAACAGAAGAACAGGAGAATAGAAGCTCAGCAGAAGAACAGCAGGATGGAGGTCCATCAGAAGGACAAGAGAATAGAGGCTCAGCAAAAGGACAGGAGGATGGTCCATCAGAAGAACAAGAGGATAGAGGGTCAGCAGAAGGACAGGAGGAGGTCCATCAGAAGGACAAGAGAATAGAGGCTCAGCAAAAGGACAGGAGGATGGTCCATCAGAAGAACAAGAGGATAGAGGGTCAGCAGAAGGACAGGAGGATGGAGGTCCATCAGAAGGACAAGAGGATAGAGGCTCAGCAAAAGGACAAGAGGATAGAAGTTCACGAAAAGGAAGGTTATCTACAGCTTACGGAATATAGTTCAAGACAAGTAATATATCTAACTCTACGGGTGTTATATAGCACAAATCGTGTGATAGTTGTAATACAAACTATACCCGTAGTTCTAAACAGCATCTTGCAGAATAAGTGAGAGAAAACTTGGAAATAAACATAGAATAATTCAAGAGTTTTTGAGAGAAGGAATCGTCATTGACGTTAAATTGAACGAAGATATCTTAAGTAAAGTACTTTGAGCAAAGACATACATGTTGAGTGAAAACATTTTGAGAAAAGTTAGTTTGAGTAAAGATATGTATAGTCAAATTAAAACTAATTAAAGTTACCTCGAACAGAGAATATAATTCAATTTGAAAAGGTATTTTTAAAGAAGGCTCAACAATTCCTGAAAAAGCTTTTTCCAGACAATAATATCTCCTACCAGGACACTGTTCACACACGCTCACAAGACACCCTCAAATATGCAAGATTGGTCCAGTAAGTGGCTTTTGGAATTCAATCCTAATAAGAACAACAATGAGGATTGGATCCAGAGAAACGAGACTAGATGATCGGTACATCGGTTCAGCCTGAAGGAGAGACACTTTCCAACATCGGAAGAGGAAGAGGAGACCTTAGTGTGGATATGACCTAAAGTATTTCACTGGAAGCACATATAAAGGATAACATCAGCGGCATATGCAATTCTGACAAAAATATGAGCAGCCTAAGATAGTCTGGACTCAGAACCATTTAGAACACTGAATGTTTCAGGAGTCGCAGAGTCGTGTGTTGAACCTACACATACCATAATCACATATACTCACACGACACTTCCTCATATCTGATGAGACAAACACGCACAAAACACTTGGTTATACTACTCATAAGACACGACCACACAGAGGACACACCCAGTTACACACTCACTTATGACTACTTAATACAAAATGGCAGATTAGTTATGTATCAACCTCTATTTAACAACAATACTAAACCCTGACCTAAGTCACCTCGAACATTTGTATCCAGGTTTTATAGTGTCGTGACTACGAATTTACATTTATTTTCATTTTTTGTTCAAAAACCAAAGTGTCGTATTCTAAACCGTAATTTAGGATTTGTAATGCTACAGATCCTAACAAAAGTCAACACTATGCAAAAAAACTGCTTTTGACCTATCTGGCGTAGGTGAGAACGGCCTTACGTGAGATGAAGAGATCCTTGGTACATAAATTCAGTCCCATTCAATGTTCATTATCAAATTTGAAGCCAGATTGAAAAGGAGATCAGTTGACTAATGACACTGGCATTCACTGACCTGACTGACTAAAACAAGCGAGAGTCACTCTGACCTCACTGAAAAGGATGCAATTGTTACTCTAATAAGGCCTCCAGCAAGTATCTAGTAAGGTACTCCAGCAAGCTGCGTCATCAATGAATGTAACAAATGTTTATAAATAATTTGTTTATGCTGAAGAGGTTTGAAGACCTGAGGGTCACTGGCAGTAGAACCTGGAGCACTTGTGTAGCAAGAGTACTATAGGTTCTAAAACCATAAACGCAGATATGTAATAAAGGAGGTTCATTCTTTGACAGGAGTAAACATATCAACAAACAAATCTGAAGATAAAAAAAATTGACAACGTTTCTGTCTATCCTAGGCCATTCCAAGTCGTGTAATGATAACGGTTCAGAATAGACCGAGACGTCGTCAATTCCTATTTGTGAGTTGGTTGTCTAATTTTCAGCCACGTAATTGTGCATTACCGTCGGCAAGAGTAAACATAGACTCTTGGCAAAGTCAGAGATTTTTGAGATTTTAAATGGTGAGTGTGCCCTTATATCTCTCAGTACCTAAGAGCTTAATGAGTATTTTGAGGACTAGGAGCGCCTTCAGTTTCTCTCACGTGTTTGTTCAGAAGCAAGAACATCTTAAGTATTTGGAAGTTGCATGACTTGGAACACTGACAGTCTTTGGGATTCCAGGGATGGGAAGGCCTACAGCTTCTGAAGCTTCGAAGATATGATGCACTTCCAGCCTTCGTGGAATGAAAAACATAAGCCACACTAGTCTCTCAACTTTTCAGGTTTAAGAAAGTTTCGACCATCGTGTGATTCTAGGAATGAGAACGAATCCACATACCCATGATTATGAATTATTTGAGTTATAAGTATACCCTGGTATGGGAATGTGTACCTCCAACCGTAACAGTTTCTGGGAACGTGTATCAACTTCACCTAACTCTGCAAATCAGTTACCACCAGCATTTTTGGGGGAGCTTTCGACAAGCCGACAGCTTCCTGTCGTCGTCGAGGCCACTAGGGTTAGTGGCCCTCAGGTAAATCAGGTAAATACGTTCCTGGAAGTGAACCTGCTAATCCCTGCCTTTTGCAAACAACTTGAATCCAACAAGAAAACAGGCTTCAAGCAGCAATAAACTCCCTGGAACAAGAGAAAAAGCGTTGTATGAATGTGCTGCATTGTGTAAGCTGTCAATTTAAAGTAATCTGACTCATGTACAAAGTATTTTACCACCAGCATAGCACACATTAACACCTACTTAACGTACCATCCTGTCTCCAACACCAGGTCCTCCTCAGCACTGCTGTAACCCCTCCTCTCCCCCCACCACAGTCTGCACACCACGGCAGACAATCGCAGGGAAAGATTCGAGGTCAAGGAGGCCCCTCAAGCAGAGCCAAACTTGGAGTGCCAGGAGAGGTATTGATGGTTGTTGCTCTGCGCCGGTTTGGTCTTCTGCAGCGCCGTCTCCACATCGCCCATGTTTATGGCGTCCAGTTTGAGCTCCGGGAGTTCCGAGTCCCCCACTGTGGCGGGGGAGACCAGACAGGTCAGTGTGAATAGTGTAAACTGGAGTGACAGTGTAAATAATATACATAGGGTAATAAATGGGATGTAATTAAAAATTGCAAATATGGCGTCACAGTATCAATCAACAGTAATGACCCTAAATAGATAATTAATAGAATAAAGAGCATTGTTAGAGGAGGAGGATGTAGGTAAATAATTTACCAAATAGCAAGAGTTGTTAAAGTGATAAATAAAGGGAAAATAAATAATGAAGTACGTACAGACAATAGGTCTGGCAAAGACATGGCCTTAAGTGTTCTTTAAGATATTGAATATAATAACAAATAATAATTAGAAGTAAGCACTTGATATTTCGATTTACTCAAAAGAAATTTAATATTTTAAAATTTTAAAAATATATTTTTAGTGATTCAAATTCACTAAAAAGAGGACTTTGATTGATTTTTAAAATTAAGTATTGATCGACAAATGTGATTTGATGCTGATTTTAAATGGCATTCATCCCACCTCACCTGTGACGATCACCTCATCTGTCAGGCTCATCACGTGTGACGATCACCTCATCTGTCAGGCTCATCACGTGTGACGATCACCTCATCTGTCATGCTCCTCATGAGAGACTCAACCCACCTACCACCCGCCTCACCTGTTACTCACCCCTCACACTACATACCTCGCGCGTCATTCATCTCACTTGCCACACACTTTACCTGTTACTTCCTCACGCGTCCATAACTCACCTATTGCTCACCTTACACACGTTACTCACGCCCCGGGTCACTCATCTCACCAGGGTGACCTCTCACCTGAATGATCCTCCAAGACGTTGAAGACCTTTCTTAGGCAGCTCATAGCGGCTTCCCGACACACCACCTGGAGGTCGGATCCGCTGTACCCATCAGACAACTGCGGGGAGAGGGCAAAAGATAGAGGATTATCTGCGGTGGAAGAAGGGGATACTCGTGGTGGGAGAGAGTGATACTCGTGGTGGGAAAGGGTAAACCCGTGGTGGGAGAAGGGACACCTTTGGTGGGAGGGGAAAAGTGGGTAACAAGGTCACTGTCAGACTACGTGTACATATCAACGGCCTTATAAACTCTTTTTGACCTTCCATTCTCCTCTTTGCAGTCAGGTGTCCTTCGAATGACCTGTTAATTAACCACTGACTGGTATTAGCTGCCATTAACTTGTACCAGTATTGATTACAAGTGCTGATCTCCTGGATGTGACAGCCTTCAGCGCAGTGTCACTGACAAATTACAGTCTCTAGCGGAGTCCCACTGATATATCACAACTTCTAGCATAGTCCCATTGAAAAATGACCGCCTCTAGCATAGTCTCATTGACATACAGTATGAGAGCCTCTACGGGAGTCATACTGAAATGTAGCAGCCTCTAACGTAGTCCCACTGGCATATGACATCCTCCGCTGTAATCCCAGTGGTAAAATCCCGACCTAGTGGCCCCCTGGATGATCTAACCCAGCTGAGATAGTCCCTAGCTACTGACTGACCTGGGCTAACTTCTTGTAGTCGAGATGGGTGGTGATGGCGTGGCCAGCCTCCTCCAGGTCGGGGATGACATCTGGCAGGTGGTGCTTGAACATGGCCTCCCGCGCCTCCAAGCCCGGTAGTGGCACTAGGATTCTTTTCTCCAGGCGACGGAGCATTGCTGGATCCAGCTGCCTATTGGGGTATGGCATGAGTTGATTGGTTGATTAGAGATTAAGCATGAATTAAGAAGCTGGTGATGCGTAAGACATCCAGCACTGTAAATTTGAATAAAAAGATCGCTCCTGCTTCCTATTCATGTATGTAACTCTTTTATATTCGTGACTCTCGTTTGCTTTGCCTCAACAAATTGATACACGTCTTTATATACGTGTTCAATATCTTGCTACAGGAGGTGTGTTAGTTGCTCATGAAACATGTGCTCTAGGGCGTCTCCTTGTCCTCTTTTCCTCTCAGAGGTTCCTCGGAGGAGCTTGGGAGGAGGGAAGAGATTAAGATACGGGGTTTAGATAAAGGCGGGGAATAGGCTGAAGGCCATACCAGTTACAGCCCCGCTTCTGTGCCAGGTAAATCCACTACGGGCTCACCATAGCCTGTGCTATCTGGAACATATTGTTCCGAGGAGCTGAATCTAAAACAACAGCTGAAGGCAGCATGGGAAATTCTGTTTGATGGATTACAGATGGAAGGAAGGAAGGAATTATCATGGGAAGGCGCCAAGCCATTACGACTATATAGCACTTGGAAGGGGTCAGGATAAGGATTTGGGATGGGACAGGGGGAAGGAATGGTGCCCAACCACTTGGACGGTCGGGGATTGAACGCCGACCTGTATGAAGCGAGACCGTCGCTCCACCGTCCAGCCCAAGTGGTTGGGTGGCAGCATGGGAAAGCTTACCAAGGTATGTTGGAGGCAGCGAGGAGGAACACATGGTGGTTAGCTTGGGTGAGTCCATCAAGCTCCACCAGCAGCTGGGTCTTCATTCTCCGGGAGGCCTCATGCTCCTGTTCACCCTGGCGTGAGGCCATCAACGCGTCCACCTCGTCCACGAATATCGTGGAGGGCGCGTGGTATCTCGCCATCTCAAACAGCACCTGCGGGGATGGCAGTAGACACGAGGATATGGCAGTTAAAACATGGCAGGAATCTAGAAATAATAATAATAATAATAATAATAATAATAATAAAATAATGTAATAATAAAAATAATAATAATAATTACCGAGAGTTAAGCAATTATGACTATATGACACATAAAAGAAATACGAAGAGCATAAGAGCTGGAACATGAGGACTGAGGGATGAAAGGAACCACTTGAACCGTCGGGAATTAAACGCCGACCTGCATGAAGGGATGTCGTCGTTTTACGAGTCCAAGTGGTTGAACGACATATTTACAAGAGTACAATAAAAAGAGTTCATTCACTTCCTAGTCTTAAGCAACAACTAAATGGGTTATTGCATAAGACTATAGAGAGTCTTACACATGGAGGGTTACTGCGGGTCTGGTGCCAGGTATATGTAAACATGGCTCTTACCACAACACCACTTTCTTTCGAAAGAAATTAAAAAGCATAAAAATTTTAAATGAAAGTATTTTTTAGCCTAAGACAGCACATTTTATATTTAAATGCATGCATGTTGTAGATCCTGCAGGTGGTAACGTTTTTATTTAATAGATAATGAAGGAGGGGGTAGAGAAGGGAAGAAAATTTTCAGGGGAAAGCGCCAAGCCATTACGGCTATATAGCACTCGGAAGGGGTCAGGATAAGGATTTGGGATGGGACGGGGGAAAGGAATTGTGCCCAACCACTTGGACGGTCAGGGATTGAACGCCGACCAAGAGAGTTGGAGAGGTAGAAAAATAGTTAAGCAAACAGTCAAGCGAGCGAGCGAGCTTGGCCAGGCTCTTGAAGAACTCCTCTGGCATGCCAAGACGAGCCCGAGCAGCCTCGATCCTCACCCTGACTAGCTTCTCCGAGTCACCCCTCCACTTGGACACCAGCGAAGTGGCGGAGATGTTGAAGAACGTGGTCTTGCACTCCGTCGCCACCGCCTTCGCCAGGAGGGTCTTGCCTGCATGGGGAGGAGGCACAAAGAACCTAGTTAACAGCTACGGATTAAACTACGTACTCAGAGCCCGGCTGCCAGCTCAGAGAGAGAGAGAGAGAGATGATACACATCCATTTTTAAGCATTGTTCTCATGAACATGCCTCAAACCTAGATCTGAATCGTTTATATATATTATGGATAACAGAGGTCCCAGGACAGAGCCTTGAGGCACTCCACTTACAACATTTTCCCACTCTGACTTAACCCCATTTATACTCTTTGTTTCCTTTGGTATAGCCATGCCCTAATCTCCTGAACATGCAGGTAAATATAACAAGACTATTATTCTGCTTATATTACTGGCCTTGCCTTCTGCACTGACACGCCCCTCACCTGTGCCCGGAGGTCCATACAGGAGAATGCCTCGCCACGGCTTGAACCTTCCGACGAAGAGTTGAGGATATTTTAGAGGGTACACCACGGCTTCCTTCACAAGTCTCTTGGCGTCCTCCAGACCAAGAATATCCTCCCATTTAACCTCAGGATTGTCCACCAAGATCTCCTGATGTGAGAAAATAATGCGTTGAGTATTACTGAATAAATAGGAATTGTAATGGATAAATTAATGTATATATATATATATATATATATATATATATATATATATATATATATATATATATATATATATATATATATATATATATATATATATATATATATATATAGCCACCTGCTGTAGTGACCACCCCACCCGCTGTAGTGATTACCCACCCGCTATAGTGACCATATATATCCGCTGTAGTGACCATATATATACCCCGCTGTAGTGACCACCCACCCCGCTGTAGTGACCCCCCACCCGCTGTAGTGACCACCCCCCGCTGTAGTGACCACCCACCCGCTGTAGTGACCACCCACCCGCTGTAGTGACCACCCACTAGCTGTAGTGACCACCCACCCGCTGTATAATGTTGGCGAGGTCTCTGAACTCTCCAGTGAAGTGAGGCATGAGGATAGGCGGCTTCACACTCTTCTCGTCCCACAGATCGCTGTCCTCGTCATCCTCACCTGTGAGGTCAAAGGTCACACATTACATCTAGGTCAAACGGGCCATGCCACGATCAATTCACAGGTCATCATGGGGTGTGCTGATATGATAAGGCAAACAGAGCTACGGTTTAATTCTAAATGATTGAATATGACAACATATCTGATCACCAGTAATGAGTTAAGCTATTACTTTCATGTTTATATTTATATTGAATTCAATGTTGCAATTTGTTAATGCCGTTTCCTCACTCTAAACAATGCAAACGGATTATTGTATAATTTATGTATGTATTAATCCATAAATTAATCCATAAATTTATTCAATTTAATCAATTTAAACACATAATTTGATACATATTTGTTAGGGTGAATTTTATACATAGAATTAGCTTAATTTGTATTTTCTACACACTAAATAGAAAACAAATTGGTCACAATATATTTAATATTTTCTTTTTTTTATGAGCTTTTTATATATAACGGGGTTTGTATTGCATTTAAAAGGAGAATTGCACATTGTCAAGAACAATTTCTGAAATATTACATTGTTTTTCTTGAAGGATAAAGATGTGACTCAGGTCTTCCTGAGTGCGAACAGGTATGTGGTAAGCGTAGTGTGTGAGTGAACAGGTGTGGGTGTGAACGCAGTTGAGTGTGCATGTACGAAAAGTGAGAATCGGTGTGAGGGGGGAATACAGGTGTGTATATACAACCAATACGATGTGTAGCGGGTGTAGGCTGAGGTGTGTGAGGTGTAAGGTTAGATGTAAGGGATGATAGCAGATGTGTGCGTGCTTGTGTGTGTTTACGAGGTGTAGGGGTGTGAAGATTGACGTGTACGTGTGTACGTACGAAGCGTTAAGACAGGTGTGTGTGTGAGTAGCTATAACGTAACTCACCAGGTGACTGGTCAGGGTGGGAAGGAGGCCTGGGAGGACCCTTACCCACATCACCAATGTTGTCTTCAAGACGTGTGTAGTCACTTATCATCTGCTTCAGGTCCAACACTTGCCGTGGCTGTGGCGAGTAGATCAGAGTGAGGGTCAGAACCACACAAGATGTAAACAGAGATCGGATTTGCATGGGGTTTTAGCACACATGAACTGTAATCTCTGGCAGAGCTTAGTTACACACAAGGGGTAGTCTCTAGCAGCGTGTAGCTACACACTAGGGGTTGTTCCCTTCTCCTTTAGAAGGCTCAACTAATATTAATAAATGAAAATTAATGAAACTTGAATCACATGTTTAATATCGTATAACTGCTTTTATAGGTTGTAGCAAAATATCCATCTTCTTGCACTCGAACGAGTACTTAAATCCAGAGTCGACACGCTAATTGTAAGTGACTCCTTATCATCCTTCACAACACTCAGCTCCTCAGGGCTTAACTGTGACGTGTTTGTGCCTGAAGCTAGGCACATATATAAGGAAATAATCAAGAGAGTCAGAGTTTGTCTCCTGTGGATTCCTGATTATATTGGTCTCTGAATGCATGATAGAACTGATGAGTCATCCCAAACATTTGCTCGTAAATATAGAATTGATGACCATTTTGTATTGATTTCGAGCAGTCTAAGGGCAGCAATATTCCGGAAACAGCAACAAAATGTATTAGACCTGAGGCAAAATGAAATTCACACCAGTTACTACATCTATGATCGTTCTATTATGCAGGAAGAACCGCACGTCTATGGATTATCTAATAAAGTTAGCAAACTTATAGACGTTACCACTGCAAGGCTTACGCTCGGCTACATGTACCTCTGGGAGTTTGCACCACCTGCTGACGTAAACTTGACTAAATGTAAACTCTGTCCGCAGAACTGTTCATATAAATTGCGTCATTATGTGACTGAATGCGAAAAATCGCGGAATTTAGAGATAACTCTATCAATGGTGTTCAAGAGATGTGTATGTACTTCATTCATAATGATGTACTGCCGGAAATCCTAGTCTAGTATCCAAAGTTCGCTCTTTCCTCTTCCCTCTCCGGTTCCCTCCTTCTTCCTTCCGCCTTCTCCCTCTCCCTCCCTCCCTCCATCATCCAAGAATCCCCCTCCCTCGTACTCACCATCCTGCCGGTCTTGACGGGTGCGAGGGAGGCTGCGATGCCCGCGCCCCCTTTCTCGCTGTCGGTGTCGGAGGAGGACTTGGTGGGGTCCTTCTTCTCGTCCCCGGGACTCCGCAGTGGTCCTCCACTTCCCGAGACGCGCCGTCCCACCAGCGGAACCCTGGGACACAGGCAGGGTCGACGAAGTACAGAAGAAGACAGGGGGTAACAGACCACAACGTCAGAGTGGTTGGGAGGATATGAGGGTTCAGTGATACAGAGGTGCATTGGGCGGTGGTACTGGCTTACGGGCGATCAAAAATACACTATTGAAGTGGGACAAGGTCTCAGTCATACAGGAGTGTGGGTAGTTCAATTGTTTTCGGGTCTAGTGGAAATTATCCAATGTGACATTACTTTGATAATTCTAAATATTTGTATTCATATCGTTGTTATTGCTAATTTTTAATATACGTGGATCATATATACAAATTATGTCAAATTATTGACATTGTTATGAAGAGCTTAAAACAGCTTGGCACTGTCTGCTGGTAAGAGGAGGGCCGAGTAATTACCAGGGACAAGCCCTAAGCCAGTATGACTATACAGGACACAAAAGGGTTGAGAGGTCAAGTAGTTGGGATATGAGAGAGGGAAGAAATGGTGCCCAAACACATGGACTGAGGAGGAGGGCCAATATACATGGTAAAGATGGGTGGTATATGATAAATCAGAAGATAGATAAGTAGTTTGATGGATAGATATGTAAAAAAGATAACAGGTCAATATGATGCACAAAGAACAACGTACCTGCCGACCTCCTCACGCTTTTTGTTGTCGATCATCTTGTTCCTGACAAAGTTGCGGGAACGACCGCGACCTTTGACCTCGCCTGCGCTGGAGACGTCGTCGCTGAGGCTTGGATCACTGGCGGCGCGACCCATGCTCCCTCCTGACCCTCCGTGCCGAGGGAGTGACCTTCTCCTGCAGGAGCCGATAAGGAACGGAGATACAGAACTGGTTATACCGGAAGAAACTTACGACTGCAGCTGCATTATTTTGATTTTATAAAATGATTATCTTGTTACATAAGTCGATTTCCGATGTTCCCTTTCAGACCCTGAACTAGTTCCTATACTTTAACATATATAACATAAAAAAAGGCATTCATTATTTAAAAGAAATCCGGCCCTCCTCCGAAAAGGTCTTCACCGACACGACCTACCTGAAGAAAGGGCTCTTTTTCCCCGCTAGTGTGTCGTTCTTGGCTGCGTTGGCTTCCTCGTGGAGGTGGCTACACCGGTGGGGCTTGGGCGTGGGTCTGGGCACCAACACCCGCTTCGCCAGCTTCGGGTACTTCTGGTACTGTGCGAGCAGCAAGAGATTAGAGTTGCATCAGCCCTGATGTTGGTGGTGGTGGTGGTGGTGGAGGTGGTGGTAGTAGTAGTGGTGTGAGGTTGTTGTTGTTGGGGCTGAAGCGATTGGAAAGGAAGTGATGGAAGTGATTAGGGTGAAAGGAGAGATGATTGGGTTTGGGTAATGAAGACGATAATTACTTGAAATTAAACAAAATTACAAACAGTAAAGCGATCAGTATATGTTGTTGGTGATAATTAGTAGTAATGTTAGTTTGGGCAATGATTGTAATGGGCAGGCCAGTGATTTTGTTGGCTAGGCAGTGATTGTGTTCGCAAGGCAGTGATTTTTGTTGACTAGAGCCGTGATTGTGTTAGAATAAGCAGTAACTGTGTTGGATGGGGCAGTGCCTGTTACTTTCGAGACTCTGGAAGTAAGTGGATTTGGAAAATTGTGACTGATTATAAAACCAAAAGCAAATAAATACTTGTAAGTACAGTATTGTATCGGAGTCGCCGTCATAAGTAATATCCTCGAATAGTCAAGTTTCGTTAACGTGTTAGATTATTTCACCTGCAATTCAGGCTGAGACGTCTTGTTTGCTGACAGCCAGATGAACGGGTCTCGTGCGCCACGCGAATCATTCTTCAAGACAGGCAAGACCTTGCCTACCTCCAGTCTAGTAGCGGACGAGAAGGACCGACCTTACATGCATCTAAGTAGTTGGCCATGACAAAGACTTCTAACATAATTTACCATTTCCTTGCGATCCTTTACTTATTTTATGTTTTGAGGTATTGTACCACACTTTATCAGCAGTAAGCAAATATAAAGATCTATATATAGATCTATAGTTGTATATCTATATATGATATAGTTTTATATCTGTAGCCATACAGTAAACAGGAAAGGATACTTACCGTAGGTATGGCCCAGCCTTGCTGTTGGACATGTCAAGAGCGAGTGAGAGTCTGCTCACCTGATACACTGTTCTAGTAGATACTAAGACGGGTCACAAAGGCTAACCTTAGCAACAAACCAGGCCTCATGCTCCTGCAGGACGCCGGCGAGGTCGACGCTGTCGCAGACGGAGAACTGTTCGGTGTTGAGTCGAGCCTCCTGCACCAGGAGCTTGGCTGCATCACTATATCTGAAAGGAAACACCAAACAATCCTTCGTCAGGAGAAGCAGCTGCAGCACCGATGTTCTCTTATGCATATTGGAAACGTTCTCCTTCGAAAGTAAGAAGACTCATGATAATTTTCTCAGGAGTGGAAAATAACTATAAGAAGTTTTCGACACATTGCAAGGTAACTACGGGAGATTTTTCGTCACATTTCAAGATAATCAGAAGTTTTTCGCAACTTCCATGTGAAATTTGAAAACAAATTCGCCACTTATACTTGGAATTAGAAACCGTTTTATCCACAGTAAATCAGGAAAAAATAATAATTTCAATTTGTATAAGATTCATGAAAACTACCCTAAGAGCGGAAAATGAGATTCTTAACATTTGTGTGACTTTGACATGATAATCCTAGCCAAAAGCCTTCACAAATCTCACCTATAATTGACTCAGATTTTCGAACTAAGACTTATTGACAGACATATATATAGATGAATGAGTTTGAGTTCATTAGAATTGAAGTAGCTTCGTGTGGGTCAATAGCTCTTCTGCAGTTCCATTTGTTCTTAAAGTTCTTACTAACAGTCGTTTGAAAAGCGTCCGTCGGACAGCAACACTCTTTCCACTCTGATTACATGATCATTACTAAATCAGGCGAATTTTCATCCTATAGCAAAATTGCTAAATATAATGGCTTTATCTCAATGATTTTGTTAGCTGATAAGAGTTCAGCCAGACCACTTGCAATTCATCCATTTAGCTCATTTTGATACATGCTAGACTCATTTTTACTCACAATGATATAGAAGGTATCTTCATCATTATTCTCGATCACTGGTTAAACAAACGGCCTTGGTCATTATATAGATGAAACACACTGAGCAAATATATATAACGAATATGCGTTAAATATTGATGATAAGAAAATATCGAATTTAAGTTGTGAGTTGAGTCGGGTTTTGAAAGATGGCGTGTGGGTGGAGCCTTTTAACTCCTCAGTCAAGTCAACCATTTTTCTTCGTCATTTCAGTAAGCAATTAGTATCAACAGTAAATAAACATTATTGTATGCATATAAACAAACATATTAATAGAGAATATTTGCCTTGCTGTAACAATATTATTATTTTTATTATTATTATTAAAATACGTTGTAATAGCCTGAAGTGGTGGAATTCAGCCTCGTATCTTAGCCGAGGTATATGTGCATGCAAAATTTCAGAAAACTATAACATTAGTAATTTTATTACTGTCATGCACATACCTCTGTAATGATGCCGTTCGTATATTTCCTGACTTCGTATCATGACCTTTAGGAGGAATAAAATGTCTCCCTGCATTTGTTGCTTAACTATTAGTTTACAGTGAAATGTCAGAAGATGAGACACAGCCTAAAATATACTTCTAAATGTGTATATTGACCGACCGATTGCTAACCTGAGTGAGAAATATGAATGGAAAGGTACAACCCAAGAAGGTTTTCATCCTATTTGGTCTTATTTTGTGAATACATTTAGTCTTTGTCTGTTTGTTTTTCTGTTGTTATGGTTTTATTTTAGCCCCCTGTTCGTTTCTCTGTTTTCCAATCTTTATCTCAGCTTCCGCTTGTTTGTTTTCCTATCTTTATCCTCCTGGATGTTATTAATTTGCTTTTGTTTCCGTCTTTCTTGTTGCTTCTTCTGTTCTTGTTCATATTTCTCTTTTATTCTTCCTGACTTATTTCCTTTCGTGTATTTCTCTGACTGTTCTTCTCATCAATTTAAACGTGTAACAGCACAGTGAGATATGTGCAGAATACATATTAGCGCGACCGTCTGGTTTATGACAGAATGCTAGGGATTACGACGAGACAGAAACTGTCCATCTACAAGATTACCGCCACAAAATTACAGGTAGAAATACTGACTCTCTCCCTTAGCGAGGCTCTTCGGTACGGAGGAAACAAAATAAATACGAAAACAGAGAGATAAAATAACGGTAAATAATTCCCAAAACATTTATCGCCAAACAATAAAATTCACACAAAAATTTGTGTAAATGTTTACAAAATATTTCTTCCCTTTAAAAGCCTAATACTCACGACTCTGAATCCAGGCGCGTAAGGCTTGTGGATAATAACAAACAGGTCAAGCCAAGATCTAATCCCGTGACACTAACAGCTCCAGGGGCCACGAAACAAGCGGTTACGACTGCACTCAAGGTGGCACTCAAGGTCAGGCTAGCAAGAGTAATGGCGTGCAGACACAGATTATACACGTCAAGGCCACGGCAGGTGGTTTCTTGGTCAAGAAGACGAAGGAATCGTCCTGCAGGTGGTGACTCATCCTCAGAGAAGGGGGGTCTCATCCTCATAGAAGGTGTCCTCATCCTTCCATTGGTCATCTTATCAGTTATCAAAGCAGAAGATAACAAAGGCCAGGATAGAAGTTTTAGTTATCACACCTGGTCGGGTAACCTTTCACGCTGACTCCTTGATCTTTAAGGCCGGACAAATCAATAAGCCTATACCGTCAGTGCTAAGGAATTTGAACTGCGATTTTCAAGGCGGTACGATAGAGCGTACACACACACGGGAACACTGACAGACAGAATACCACACAAAAGGTGCAGATCGTCATATATCAAGCTGCTGCAGTCATCAAGTCACAGGGGACGTAGATGTGCTTGTAGAGTATTTGTATATATTTATTGTAAGCTGCCTTTAATACTTTGAACTTACTACTTAAGGCATAAGCAAAGCGCTAACTGATATACATCTTAAGGATCGAAGATAAAATAACATTTCAACTTTCAAGTATCACTTGAATTCTCTCATTTAAGTTTTTTCAACTTTTCCGGGACTCATATGTGCTCTAGTATTGCTATTTTGTTTGAAGGTGTTTGCTGAGAAACGAGAATTGAACAGGAACGGATAATTATCTCCATGCCCGAACATATTTAGCTATGTAACCTTTTCTCTCTAAGCGAATTCAAAAAATTGACTTCGAGAAGAACGTGTCCAACGGGCTGTGAGTGGTCAAGATGTTTACTAACATGAACTGGTTATGTCGACCACGTGTTCATCACGTTGATATTGGCAGGAGTTCTGCCAGCCATGAAACAGGCAGAGGTCGAGGACTTACACCTTCTGGTCGAGGACTTACCCCTCCTGGTCGAGGACTTACCCCTCCTGGTGGAGGACTTAATCCCCCTGGTGGAGGACTTACCCCTCCTGGTCGAGGACTTACCCCTCCTGGTCGAGGACTTACCCCTCCTGGTCGAGGACTTACCCCTCCTGGTCGAGATAGTGATGAACCAAGATGATGAGGGACTTGCGTCGAATCTCAGCTCGTTTGTCCGCCTGCAGACGGGTGAGGGACGGGTGAGGGACGGGTGAGGAACAGGTGAGGGATGGGTGAGAGACGGGTGAGGGACAGATGAGGGATGGGAGTTATGGGACAGGTGAGGGAGGGGTGACGGAGGAGAGTTATGGAATGGGTGACGGAGGGGAGTTTATGGGAGGCATGAGGGATAGCAGTTAGAGGGGGTGAAATCGAGTTATGTATGTGAGATGATTGAGATCAGTATGGTAGGAGATGGAAGAGGAGGGGAAGGAAAGGTATGGTCCGAAGGATGGAAGCAACAAAGGGAAAAAGAGAGGAAAGAGATCATCATTATCAACATTTTAGTGGAAATTTGTATTATAAACATCATCGGTTGCTCTGAAATATAAATTCATTATTAAGCAAAGAATATTACAATAACACGGCTGAAAAAAAACACAATCTCACTTATGAAAAGAAAGGAAATTGACGACGTTACTGCAGGCCAAGCTCGACCCTTATCAAGTCGCACCTGAAGCACACACAGGAAGGAAGCTGTGTTGTGATCATGTACCTTCATATTTACGTCTTTCCATTCTTGGGTTGGGCCTTACCTCATATCTCATCCCTCTCGGTTACGGGACCAGTCTCGAGGATTTGTTCAATGTTACCTCTCAGTTTAAGTGTGTGGGGTGTACTCACCTATCTGAGGCTTCAGGAACGAGCTCTAGCTCTTCGACCCAGAGCTTGGACTCCTGTGTGTGTGTGTGTGTGTTTATGGGAGATACGGATGGAGATGGGACAGTGTTCTACCATGACATACCATAAAGGAGAGGGGGAAGTTGGTAGGGATGGTGACGCGGGGGATAGTAGACAGTGGGGAGGGTGGACGGTAGGGAGGACAGACGCGGGGAAGGGTGAAATGCTGGGTTAGACAACACCAGGTGAGTCATGTTTGATTTCCTGTAATTCCTACCCTGTTCTCCTTCCTTTCCTCCAAGTCCCCTCCTTCCATTCCCATTACCTTCATACACGCATATACGTGACTATTCACCTTTGCATTCAGACATGGAAACCCTTATATCCAAATATACGTTCATGTACCTTCATAAATACTAAACCATTCACACACACACACACACACACACACACACACACACACACACACACACACACACACACACACACACACACACACACACACACACACACACAAATTAACGGTATTTGTAATGGTGGCTAACATAAGAACAGGCTTCAGGAGCCTAGAGCAGGATTCATTCAGAACATTATACACCACATATGTCAGACCAGTATCCACGTATGCAGCACCAATGTAGCTTCACTTCATCAGAGGTATGATCACGACATTTAAGATCATCAGGGACATCGACAAAGCTCATAGGAACAGATAGTGTGACATGAAAGAGGTCAAAATAAATTAAAATGCGTATCTAAATGAACAACAGGGACAGAACGAAGATCTTCGTGGAGGGATCATGCAGGAGAATAAGGGGGAAAGGTTGTGCAGTCAAACTACAAGAAATGGACATAAAATCACATACGACCAAACTAACCAGCTGAGTGAAGGTTTAGAGGCATTAACCTTCAGGGGTACTGAGGCTCAGTCACCCCAAGTACAACTAGGTAATGACTCTTTGTCCTTCTCTCTCTCTCTCTGTCTCTCTTGCAGTTAACTACTAGTACTCGCCTGTTCATTACAGTGAATATCTTGGATGAATGATCAAAGGCTACACGATTTTGCAGGTATGGGCACGATGAGGGCGTGGCTGTGGTGGTGGTGGCTTCGTGTGTGGCCAGGTGTGTGGTGGAGTAGGTGTGGGCAAGCCTGTGGTGGGAAGGATTGTGAATAAGAATGGTGATCGTGTTGACCAGACCACACACTAGAAGGTGAAGGGACGACGACGTTTCGGTCGGTCCTGGACCATTCTCAAGTCGATTGTCGACTTGAGAATGGTCCAGGACGGACCAAAACGTCGTCGTCCTTTCACCTTCTAGCATGTGGTCTGGTCAACATACTTTAGCCACGTTATTGTGACTCATCGCCTGCAATGGTGATCGTGGGTACTGTCTAATCGTGGGTTGAGCGCCTTCCTGATGGCGTGTGGACGAATAAGGGAGTTCGTGGCGTGGGGGAGTCAGGAAGGGTAATAGGTGGGTTGGAGGTTTCCACGACGGCGTCGTAGAGGTGAGGGTAGGGAGGGATTTTCGTCCAGGGTTGCATAATCAATTCAGATAACACACCTGGCCCGTTGCGGGTACTAGAGCAGGCAGCGTGCGTACACCTCCACCACCACCACCAGCAGTACGGACGCCCCTACTTCCCCCTCCACCACCACCATGACGGTGGGGACAGGAAGGAATAGGTAGAAGGCTGCTGGAAGGGGTTTGACCCGTCTCTGAGGGCTGTAGGAGGTTATTCATTACATGCGCGTAACTGATTGCATTGGTTAACCCACAAGAATTAAAATCAGAATTTGATTTATTGATCTACCACTCGTTGAGTGAGAAGGCAGGCTCTCTCTCTCTCTCTCTCTCTCTCTCTCTCTCTCTCTCTCTCTCTCTCTCTCTCTCTCTCTCTCTCTCTCTCTCTCTCTCTCTCTCTCTCTCTCTCTCTCTCTCTCTCTCTCTCTCTCTCTCTCTCTCTCTCTCTCTCTCTCTCTCTCTGTTTGATACTCACCAACTCCTTGGCCTGGCTTGCCGCCCGTAAGGACTGCAGGGATAAGTGATTGGATGTCATCACGCATCTGGAAAAACGGAAATAATTCAATGTTAACGTTGCAGGATGGTTGTGGCAATCCTGCAATCTGCGGTATGGGAGTGTTTCCATACAGGAAGAGGTCGTGTGCGCGCGCACCGCCGCGATTGATTCATGGTGGCACGTTGAAATTATATTCAATGAGTTTATGGTATGAGATTAGGTTACCTAAACTTAGATCAGGTTAGGTAGGTTACCTGAGGGATATGAGGTAGGTTAGGCTAGGTTTTAGGTTAGGTTAGGCAAGGTTACATTGATGGATTTAAAGATGCTAGGTGAGTTAGGTTAATTTCAACCCGTCCTCGACTCAAGTCCATTACATCCAGCGGTCGACCTCACAAACGCATTCATAAATTTGTACACGCTGTTCATTCGAACCAAAGTGAAGAATTTTTTTTCGAATCACAACGTTGTAAATGCTTCACCCACGTACTGCATATACAAATAATCGCCAACAGAACCTAAACACCTATCTTAACTTATGCCTGTATATGCACAATGTGCAAATATATTATAATATTTATTTATATTTGAGAAAATTCCTGATTTTAATGAACTTCATGTAAAAATGTATGAATGTGCCTGTGGGGTCGACCGCTGGATGTAATGAACTTGAATCGAGGACGGGTTGCTATTTCAACCCGTCCACGACTCAAGTCCATTACATTCAGCGGTCGACCCCACAGACGCATTCATACATTTTAACATACTGTTCATTCAAAACGGGAATTTTCTCAAGTATAAATTAATATTATAATATATTAGCATATTGTGCATATACAGGCATAGGTTAGGTTAGGTGTTTAGGTTCTGTTGGCGATTATTTGTATTTGTAGTACGTGGGTGAAGCATTTATAGCGTTGGGATTCGAACAAAATTCGTCAGTGAAGCACTTGTTCCGGATATGTTCGGACGTCAGCAGTTGTGAGTCGTGTGTAAACCGTTTTTCATTCGTAAACAGGGGGTTTGGCGGGTGGGTGGAATCACTTTTGGGTCTTTGTTCGAGGACGGGCTGCAATAGTGGTAAGCCGTGTATCAAGCGTTGTTCATTCGTAAACAAAGAGTTTGGCGGGTGGTTTAACGAGCATATGCTCGTTGTGGCTGAGGACGGGCTTCACCTGTAAGTACATTTCACACATAATCCTCGAGAAAGGCTCTTGGACGGAAGATATTTTGTTTTCCAGTATAGTCAGAATGAATTTCCAGCATATAAGCCTTCGGAGGATTACTAAGATAAAGCTCATTGGGAGCGGTTACTAGACTGGTGCTTCTGGCTAGTGATACATGACGCAGCTAGTGACGCATTTAGATGTAACCAGAGCGGGGGTATACCTTAAGCACGCAACCTTCGCTTTATTCAACTTAATAAAACTGTGAAGAGAAACAAAGGGGGTGACCCGGTTCTGGATTTGCCCAGGAGCAGGTCTGCGTCCTCAAACAACCTATAACCTAACATATAACCTAACATATAACCTATATATTCTTTGTTTCTTTGTCGTGGGGATGGGGGGGGCCTATAACGAATTCCTACCCAAGAATTTAACAATGTGATATACTGCAGCTGCACGTATTTTACGAGGTACAGGATTAGTGAAGATAATTACATTCCTTGCGAGTCTTGTCTAGGTTTAACTAGGGGCGGTATTTTAAGCACATCATTTCGGAGTTGAGGACGGTCCTGTGTAATCATGTTTGCTCGCTGGTCCTGTATAAACCTCGCTTGCAGGACAGACACAAATATATTTAAACAAATTTGAAGCTAAACACTTTGCAAACAATTCAAGAGTGCAACTATAATCATTTATGGGATGTTGGCTTGTCATTTCCAACACTTAAATGGCGTCTGTTTTCTCAAACTTCTGTAGTTAATTATTATGAGGTCTAGGAAAGAACGAAATGGAAAGAAGGCAATGGCTGACACGTCGAACTGGAATTACATGGGAAACGAAACACTGGAAAGAACAAGATTTAGAACAATGAACTGGGAAACATGGTTAAAGACGACGAACTAGAAATAGAAATAACCTAAATTAGATTAGAAATAGCCTAAGCTATTCTATCTCTTTTGAGATGTATTTTATAGTCTCAATGAACGTATTTGGACTTGAACTAGAAAGATCGTTGTGAAGAACGCACTTCAGAGATTTCAAGCCAAAACGTTTTGACACTGAAAGATGAGAGAAATGGTTAGTATAGAGGGTTCTAAATACACAGGCAAGGAATAGGGTTATGAGAATCAACTAGCGACTGAGAAGGGCAAAATGGTATTAGCGAAGAAGAGTGTGAAGAGGAGAGTGATAACGATGGGGGTTGGTTAAAGATCCTCGAGAGAGGAAGACGAATAATTACTCCTGAAATATTAAATAAATGTGACACAAAGGCATTTACAAGTGTGAGAATACGTAATCACTTGAATAAAGAAAGGGGGAATGAAAGAAATGTAGAGGATTACGCCTGGGAGTATGGGGCAAAGTCTTAAGACGACTTGCAGATGTCAACAGAGAATGGGAAGAAGATATCCGGAGAGAGCACAGCAGAAGAGAAAGAATATTGAATAGGGAACTAATGCGGGTAGAAAAAACCCAGCATAGAACATTATATATGATAACAGAACAGATAAACTACAGAGACAATACTAAAACATAATAAAAAGGAAAATGAAATGAGGACGAGAAAAAATATTGAAATGAGCAGAGCTCGAGTAAATAAAAAAACACTTGATTAGACGAGAAACAAATGAATCAGAGAGAGATCAAGAAAGAACCAAGCAGAGAGGAAGAGAGCATCACCCCGTTCATAAGAAAGAGTAGTTTAGGAGAATTCGCCAGTAGCAGATCTATTACATTCCAATTCAATGTTTAATCGAATATGGTAGACTAAGAGAACCAAATTGTTCTGGGTAATGAGATTGGACAATAAAGGCGAGCCACTGTAAAGAGAACTCCATGTGGAATTATGAGTTAAAAAAATATTGTAAAGAAAAAACCAGCTCCAGCACCCAGCAAGCCTCTGGCAGAAGCCAGAAGCCAACCTGTTCTACAGAATAATATGACACAAGATCGAAGGGACACGTCAAAGGCAGACGATTTCACGTCCCACATCCGGGAAGAAGGGGAGGTCTAGATAAGAAGAGAAGGACGATAAGGAGGAGGATAGAGAGAAGGCTCTGGGAGGAGGAGGAGGATAGAGAGGTCTCCGGGAAGGATCGGTTGGGCAGCATCAAGAGGAGAATTTATTGATTCTTCAACAACATTAAGAGCAGCGCTCGAGTCTAGCAGGTTATGGCAGAGTTGGTGGAGAAGTTCCTAATGATGAACTAGGGAAGAGGTAAGGGAGAGACAAGGAAGGGGGGGAGTGAGAGTGAGAGAGAGAGAGAGAGAGAGAGAGAGAGAGAGAGAGAGAGAGAGAGAGAGAGAGAGAGAGAGAGAGAGAGAACCACTAACCTTGTCAGTCTCTCGTCTAACTTACATTTAATGACAAGGATTCTGATGATAGTCCCGAAGGAAGGTCTATTTTTTTGTACTCATATCTCATTATCAGGCACTCATTCTATGCTCCTCACTACATGTCATTGAGGACCAATTTCTTTAATTGTTAGTGCACATGGAGTGTCTGAGGGCAGATGAGAGAGTGTTGTGTTGGGTGTAGTGTGTAGTGGTGGGTGTAAGTGTGGTGAATATTACTGTGTGTTGTGGCGAGTGGAGTGTGCGTGTGGTTGATGGTGTAATGTGTTTAGTGTTGGGTGCAGTGGTGGATGATGGGAAGAAAACCTCTCGGAAGCTGCATCTCTGGCCACGCCTCTGAGAATAGGGAAAGGGTCGCAGGTGTGTGTTGGTTGGCTAATATAATTAGAGATTGTCTGTGTTTCCAAGCTGAACACGCCCTTCTTCAACGATCATTTAATCGTTTACACACACACACACATACACACACACACACACACATCAAAGTGTTATTTCACAAAGAGTTCTTGGAAGACTGGACACCACAAGCGTAGCTCTCATCCTGTAACTACACTTAGGTAATTACACCTAGGTCATTACACACACACACACTGATATAATCCAAGAACCAAAAATTAAATTGTTTCTAACACCTTAATAATAATAATAATAATTACACATCCTTCACACTGTAACACAGTTACTCGACCCAAGAAAATGCGGGATGGGATATTACATTAGACGACCGTAAACAGAAAACGCAGTCATAGTAAGTTGAGTACCAGTACCAACACACATGCACACGCAAGCACACACACGCGAGAGCGCACTAGTACACACTGGAACAGTTGCACACACACACACATGTTCGTACACAAAGAGCAGGAGGAGGGCATTAACCCAAGAGAAAGTTAAACATATTTAAACATGAAGCTCTTCACCCGTAGACTTATTCTCAGATAGTCGTTCCTGACATACCAACTCACTCCTTTTATGATAAATGGCTGAGCAACAATGCCTACCATCTCAGTAAGCGTGGCCAGGGGAAAGATGAAGGGCTATTTGTGGAAACTATAATCTCAGAGGAACCACTGAAGGGTTAGGAAGCACTTATTCCGTGTAGTGAACTAGCGCCATGAAGTAATAGTAGTTGAGACTAAGTTAATACATAGTTTCAAGAATAGGTATGAAAGCGGGCAACAGAATTTGAAGCCATTCCACTTGGTGACCGAAGATTGAAAGGCGGAGTCTAGGAGCTGAAGACCGCTCTACGAGACAAATAGGCGAGTGAATATATTGACAAGTATACACACATACACATTTATATCATGCGTGTGTAACACTAACCACATGTTTTATGTTACATTTTCATCGACAGTAATTAGCTCTTGCAATTTCAAATTAGGGAAAATTACCTTGTTACTAAGAAAACTGTTGCTTTGCAAATTTATAGCAATTAATAACAGAGTATAATAGCGGCAAGACACAGTCAAGCTTCCCCTCGACTATCAACACACAACTCATCACCAAAGTGTGTGCATAAGACTCATTGCTAACATAAAGACTAGGGTGGGATTTTGTGGAGTCTTAAATCCAATTTATATGGATATTATTACAGATTAAATTCCTTTTTTGACTATTCTGTATAATTTAATAACCATTATTAAAACCCGATTAATACTGGTTAGAGTTATGGGGCGCCGCTAGTTAGATTTATTCTGCGTGTCACAACAACCAAGAAATTAAATACTAAATAATTTTATCTAAGAATAATTCAAATTCCGTGGAAATTAATGGCATACGCTAGGTTACGGTGTATTACGGATTTTAATTGCTATGTTCCAGTAAAAATTGCGTGCTTGTGTGTGTATGTGTGTTAGTTTAAATCGTTCTTCAACTGTTTACAGTTTTTATCTGGTAATTACAGTAATTATTATTATCTGTATTATTATCAACAACAGAATTTATATCGTTACCTATCACTACTGCAGCAAAGACTAGTACTACATGCGCTCGTTACCTCTTATGCATCAAAAGCTTATCACACACCAATTATAGTCTGGCATAATTATAGCTATAAAATCATGTTAAATCGAGTTCTCTCCCTTTAAGTCAGATCCGTACACTGCTATCATGCGCTATAATGTGTTGGATAAGGTGGAACACATACTGGGACACATAAAACCATCCTGTGTTATGTGTCAGAACTGCCAGTCTTTCTTCCACCCTGCCAGATCCCTCCCACCTCGTGTTATAACGCTATATAAAGTGGTCGTGAAAAAATATTGCTACCGAATAGCATAATAGGACGGTAGCCTGGTATATTGCTTATGATTGGAGTGTCTGAGGGTCGTAATATACACCGGTCATGATTTAGGTGAGGCTAGAGTGGTCGTTGTGTGTGCTGGTGGACGGGTGGGTGGATGAGTGGACGTAAGGTATACTACCGTAGACTCAGGTATACTAGAGCAGTCGTGGACCACAACGTCAACTATATATAAAACAATCAGAACAGCAGAAGCAGCAGCAGCAGACATATATCAACATTTTGGAATAATTGCTTCAGCATTGCGTCCACCATCAACGTTCAAAAGACGCGGGAGCTACGTTTTAACGCTTATAATTTATGCAGCGAAAGCAACGTCTTTAATCCTGCGTCAGCACCGTTCACCAGTGGCAACGTTAGCAGCTTCGTGTCAAACGTTTGAACTCTGAGATAACATTGGCACTTGCAACTTTGGGAGAAACGTTTAACCCTGTTTCCGGCAATCGATGGCGGCGATGTTGGGACATGCAAGCGGTTCACGTGGCCTCGTCGGTGGGCGGCGGACATGCACTTACGAGGTCACACACGGAATATATAAGTGATGAATCTGTGTGCTTGGCCGTCCGGGGCACTGCGTCCAACCCTTGATGATTCGAAGATTATTTTTGCGAAGTTGATACTTGAGATATGGGAGTGAAGGAAGTGTAGGAGGAGGAGGAAAGGGGGTGGGATGGAGGGGAATAGTGAGCGAATGGGGGTTGGTTGACTGCCTCCCCTTCCTTCCCCCCCATTGTAAAAAATAGGGGAAGGGAGAGGTAATGGTTATTAGTCATAGGTGAGCGTCAACCCCTTCCTCCCACACCAGTCACACGCCAAACTGACCATCACATCAGCGTCCAGGACCGGCCCCGGCTATACCTTCCCCAACACTGCAACACCTTTCCTGTGTCTCCGTGGAACACAAACGCTTCACCCTTCCTCTGCACACCGGCTATATGTAGCAGATCACAGCCCGTATACACGTCACCAGAGGAAAGAAACTGCTTTCTGCCAGGGGACCCCTTGCCACTGGGCTCACCTGTGCGCACGTGGTAGACTCCTGGCGTGGGGGAAGTCGACCAACTGACTGTCGACCAGACGCTGTGGCAAGCCTCCCCCTCGAAGGGTTGCCACCAGCCGCCCGCATGCCCGTTTATTGTCATGCACACTGATTGTGTCATGGTCTCCTGCAACAATCGCTCAAAGTGTTCCATAATGTGGGGGATTGATTGTGATTTGTGTCTATATATATGTATGAACACGTTGTACTGAACGGGATGAGAATAGCTTGAGTTACCTCATCCCTTTGTGTGTATTTATACCTCAATAAGCTTATTTCAATTTCAATTTCCTGAAACTATTGGTTTATCGGTCGTCGAGGGACGCTTAATTCATATTACCTCGAACTTCAGGTAGTGGTGAAGTGGTTGAAGTGTAGTGCAATGTAGATTTATTTTTAAGCGAAGAAGAAATCATTTGATTTTTGTTGTTTACAGGCACCTTTTATTTTTAATTGCTGGGAAGCAAAATATTTGGCCTATTAATCTGAGCTTCTTAATTGTTTTAATTGTACCTATTAGATAGCTCTTTCCGCCTTGTTCATTAAAAGGAACCACTATGTTTTTATTAGGCTAAACAAGTCTTACGATAGATAGAAACCATTCATTTCGACAGCGTTTAATTTACACGATAAACTCACACCATTCTTCTGTTAATTTTAAGTTTGGATACTGTTTGGAGAAGAATAACAAAGTTCATTAGTAGTTGACATGTTAGAGTACGACCATAACCGTTGTATTAATGCGAATATTGATTGACCAGGCCGCTCCGGCGTGTTATTTACGTGGTTGCCATGGCGAGACCCACGCACGCCTCCGTTTTCTGTTGCTCACACCTTCCTCGAACACTATCCTTTTTCCTGTCATATAAATTTAACGTTATGTTATGCCTTTTCCTTTTTAAATAATTACATTATTTTTTGTGTGAGATATTCACTTGTGAAACACGCTAAAATTATAAATGTGCGTAAATAAATGAAAGTGTTTGGGGTGAAAATACTGGTTTTCTGTGCTGGCGCATGAGAGAAAACGGTTGATGTCGTGAGGTGGATGGAGGTCCCCGCGTTCCTTCAAGTGTCAGTCAGTCAGTGAGTCGACAGCTTCAGTGGTCAGGGCGTCAGAGATAAACATTCCATCCAACACTCCTGTATTCGTTTCGTGAGCGAGCCGCTTCACGTGAACTAGTTCGTAACTAGTCGAAAAGTAGAGTGATATTTATCCATATCATCGACAGATTTCGTGAGTGAAAGGTTAAAATACTTCTTAAAAGTGACAGGAAAAGCGGATATAAGTTTGAACTTTTTTCGTATTGTTGTACAGATTTGTAATGACTATGAAGTGGATTTTAGGGAAGCGTAGCTATAATTCTCTACACATGGAGATTTTAAAAGCCAAAAGAATGGTGGTTCTGTGTGTAACATAATCTGTGAGACAGCCCCAGTCTTGAAGTGCGGAAAGTTAGCCCTATTAGAAGTCATTCAGCGAAGCAGACCTTTTTCGCACGTAGTGGTCAATATAGACTAAGCAAAGGAAAATCAGCGGCGATCAAGCAAGTCGACCCCCAGCCTGTCCACTACTGTCTCAAGTACCTGCGTCATCAGTGACGGGTGTTGTCCCGTCGCCAGCGAGACGGCGTCACCCTGGTGAAAACTGGTCGCACGTCGCCCCTCTACTGAACGATTTCAACTCTCTGCATCTATAGTGTTTCATCTTTATTTTTTAGTTTTTTGACCTATGATTCCCTAATCATTTTGCCATTTTCTTTGTATCTCAGTCTTTCCTTCCTACGCTAGCCCTTACGTACACAAAATTTTCCTAACGTCCGCCCTTACCTAAACCCCCTCTTCCCGAACCTACCCCTGCCAACTCCAGCCCATACCCACGTCCGCTCCCTACCCAGGCCAGCACTACCCACACCCGCCCCCTATCCAGGCCCGCACTACCCACACCCACCAACCATGGGGTGCAGTGAAAGCAAGGACCTTAAACCTATTACTGTAGCGGACGCCCAGAGGAAGCTAGAGTCATCCTTGGAGGGCTTGGCAGTAGTCAGACTCACACACTCGGCCTCCAACTCCATCTCGTCCTCCGGAAATGGGTCCTCGCTGTCCTCAGTGCCCCACACCCCTGAGGATAAGCTTCTGCGTCACCAGGACTCCAAGGCCAGCCTGGTGGAGGACCTGCCTCTCACCCTCGACAGCATTCCCACCAACGACCTAGGGGTGAGTACTTGGTCATATGTTGCTAACAGCAGTGACAAATGTTATGTTAATATTATCAATAAGGTAGGTTGGGGATAATTCAGAAATGTGAGAGAAATTCTCCAAAAATTATTTATGAAATATTTGAGAGAGAGAGAGAGAGAGAGAGAGAGAGAGAGAGAGAGAGAGAGAGAGAGAGAGAGAGAGAGAAGGTATTTAAAATTCGTACACAGTGGCCTTTCTTAAATGTATATGGCCAAATTTCGTCCGTTCATATAATGTAGTAATGCTACGAACTGAGAAACAAGTTCCAGGAATGTACTACCCGCGTCTACGCTCTGAGAAACGTGTCTAATTCCTAAATTACATCGTGTGATTACCCCCCAGATGAACAGCGCGGTCAAGAACGAAAAGTATTGGTAGTTAGTGTAAACAGTTTGTCCAATTTCCTTTCTAAGCCCCCTACCCTTCCCCCACCCAATCTCAGCGCTTGCCCTTCAAGCGAAAACTATGTGCCCTCTAACATTACCTCTCTCCCTCCCTTTCTTTCTTTCTCCTGTTCCACCCTTTCTCTCCCTCCCTCCCTCCTCCCTCACTTTTTCTCCTTCGCTTCCTTCCCCCTTCTGTATCCTGTTCCTTTTTTATTCCTTTTTCCCCTGCTTCTCCCCCATCTCCACCCTACCTTCCCCGTTATGACTCGTCTGACTCCCATAGCGACAGGCGTGGGTGTGTACACACTCGGTGAGTGTGAGTGCGTCGGTGAGTGTGAGTGCGTCGGTGAGTGTGTGTATGTGGGCGCCAGGGCACACACACACACACACACACACACACACACACACACACTCACCTCACCAAGGTTAATTTCGCACGTTAGACGAGAGAATGTGCGATATGTCCCGAGTGTGTTCACTCAAGTCACTCTTAGAGGTGTGTGCTGCGTGTGTTCACTCCATCACTCTGAAAAAGGGGGTGTAGGGCGGGGGGGGGGGGGGAGGGGGGTTATTGAGTATGTTCACTCTGGTGGGTGACGGAGTGGCGCCAAGTAGTTAATATTTAAACACCTCGTCGATGATGACGTTGTTATAGTGAGCGTTCGAATACGTTGTTGATGACGTCATCTAGAGAGTACTTGAACATATGACTGATGACGTCGTCATTGGTTTCCTTTCAAATAAAAAAAAATAGAACTTTTATTATTTTTCATGAAGTGTTAAGTTCTGTACAACTTCTAACAGTTATTTTTTATCATTCCTACTATTAAATATTTATTATTTATAATATTCCTAGCATGATAATTCTTCCATTGTGTCCTCTGTTGAATAGGGAAATAGTCAGAGAAAGCGGTCTAACCAGGGGAAGCGGCCTAGCCAAAGTACGGGGCTCTAGCCTGAGGACAGGGTCTAGTGTGTGTGGACGGGCCCTGATCTATCCAATTATGCTTCGCCAGCAATATCGGCCAGAGTTCGAGCCCAATGCAGGGAGCGACGATTGGGAACTGATCCTTAACTGTTCGTCCTCCTTGTTCATCCAGCCGTGATTGGGGATCTGTAAACAGATTGAAGGATCGAGTTTCATAGGAGCATTAGCGAAAGGAATTACACATTTGGCGGAACAATTTCAACTTGATTATGTCTTTTCTGTCATTAAATCAATTGTCAGGTTAATTATAAACTAAATATCCTCCTGTAATGTGTCAGTAGACGTGGGGGTGTCAATAGATGTTGCGGAGAGTGCCTAAGGTGTCACCAGGTGTGGCAGAGAGTGCCTGAGGTGTCACCAGGTGTGGCAGAGAGTGCCTGAGGTGTCAGTAGGTGTGGCAGAGAGTGCCTGAGGTGTCACCAGGTGTGGCAGAGAGTGCCTGAGGTGTCAGTAGGTGTGGAAGAGAGTGCCCGAGGTGTCACCAGGTGTGGCAGAGAGTGCCTGAGGTGTCAGGAGGTGTGGCAGAGAGTGCCTGAGGTGTCAGTAGGTGTGGCAGAGAGTGCCTGAGGTGTCAGTAGGTGTGGCAGAGAGTGCCCGAGGTGTCACCAGGTGTGGCAGAGAGTGCCTGAGGTGTCAGTAGGTGTGGCAGAGAGTGCCTGAGGTGTCACCAGGTGTGGCAGAGAGTGCCTGAGGTGTCTGTAGGTGTGGCAGAGAGTGCCTGAGGTGTCAGTAGGTGTGGCAGAGAGTGCCTGAGGTGTCCCCAGGTGTGGCAGAGAGTGCCTGAGGTGTCAGTAGGTGTGGCAGTGAGTGCCTGAGGTGTCACCAGGTGTGGCAGAGAGTGCCTGAGGTGTCAGTAGGTGTGGCAGAGAGTGCCTAAGGTGTCACCAGGTGTGGCAGAGAGTGCCTGAGGTGTCAGTAGGTGTGGCAGAGAGTGCCTAAGGTGTCACCAGGTGTGGCAGAGAGTGCCTAAGGTGTCACCAGGTGTGGCAGAGAGTGCCCGAGGTGTCAGCAGGTCTGGCATAGTGCCTGGGGTGTTCATTCCAGTTATATAATTGTATTATTTGTCAATATTTTAATACTTGTATTAAATATTAATAGTATTAATAATATAGGTAGAAATATAATACAATTATGCCATAATATAGTTTAAATAATACAAAACAGTTAAAAATCACATCATTTTGAAGTTAAAACATAATATGAAAACAGAGTTAAAAATACAAATATATGTAAACAAATACTAAACACACGAATCATCGTAAAACTCATCACTCATCATGAAATTTGGGAATTACCGTCAACAGAACAATTTAATTAACAATTACGTAAGCTTGGAATTATATATTTACAAACAGTGCATTATTTTTAGTCAGTGTCAAGCGATAACTGGTTCACACACTCACACATACACACACACATACAACATATACACAATATACACAAACATATTTATGACAAAATTAAAAAAAATAAGATCGACAATGACCACTATCTAAGGCCGACAATGACCAATTTCCATGGCCGAAAATGACCAATATCCAAGGTCGACAAATGACCAATTTCGAAGGCAGACAATGACCAATTTCCAAAATCCGACAATGATCAATTTCCAAGACTTACAATGACTAATTTATCTCAGTGGCAGGGGAGGGGGATAGAAGGTCCAGACGAGGGGGTCGAATGAACCCAAATGAACCAGAAAGACAAGAGACTAAACATGCTTTTAGTGTCACGTGTTATGAACGTCCAGAGACAGATGTGAATTCAACTTCTTCCTTTATTATGCACCCCATACCCATCCCATGGGCGGTGGTGGACAGGGTGGACAGAGGCACATAATCATTTGCGAAGATCCAGCTTATGTCGTTAGTGAATTCTCTTCAATAGTTAGTGAAGTTAAGAGATAGAAGTCTCTGAATGCTTAAAAGGCACAAAGAGATGATGAAGAGTAAAAATAGTAGATTGAAGAAGCTAGATAGAAAGGAAAGGTGTCTGGCATCTAGGCCAACGACCCCTAGAGCTTGTTAATCCCTGCTGCTGAGGTTGTCTCGTGGCCCCGCATGGTGGCTATTCATGCATTCTTGTTGACTTTGCAAGCCATAACAATGAAGATAATCTACATGGTGGGATAGGATCGCGTCATTCCGGTGGGAAGGGGCGGGGAACAGCAGTGGGGGAAGGGGAAGGTGTAGTGGCTGGGGAAGTGGTGTTGGGAATATTGGAACTATTATATTGGGAAGTTGGTGTTAGAGAGGAGTAGCAATTGGGGGTGTGAGGGGGTAAAAAGGAGAAGGGTCAGGGGGAAAGGGGAGATAAATTAAGGGGGGAAGAGAGTGGGGGGGGGGGGGGGAAGAACGCACTGCGGAAACAGCTATTGAAAAACATAAACACAGTGACGTCATCTAGCGAGCAGTGACCTGAGATTGGACACGCGAACCACTGCAGGTCAACATTCACACTTGAAGGTCACAACCCCCCCACATCTGAAGGTCACCCTCCCTCACCCCCCACAACTGTAGGTCACATACCCCCCACATCTGAAGGTCACTCCCCCCCCCCCCCACTTCCCCCACGTATCCTCACTACAACACGTATTATAACATCACTTTTGCTATGAATTTTGATTCATTAATTGATATTGTGTTGAATTACTTTATTTTGCATTGTGGAGAACTTTCGCTCGCTACTTTGTATCTTAATAATATCTGTATTGTTTAATTGATTTATATTATTGCATTGCATTATTTCACTGTTGCTTCGTTGTACTTAAAAAGTACGTTATTGTACTATTAAATTTGACTGTATTTTTCACTTATCAAATAATTGCACTCTATTTCACTACTACACTGAGCTCATATTGTTGTATTGTGCTATTGTATTGTATTGAAATATTTTACTGCTATTGTTACTGTTGTTCCAGACTAGTCACATTGTGTTGTATTACTGTAATTGGTTAATATTTTGCTCTGAATTGTATTCGTGTAAAAGCGAGTTGAATTCATTCGAGGACACAGGGGGATTTTATGTGTCTAGTCCAGAGCTGCAGGTGAGGAGCAAGTGGACCTGTGGACCAGAGAGAGAGAGAGAGAGAGAGAGAGAGAGATAGAGAGAGGGAGAAAGAGAGAGAGAGAGAGAGAGAGAGAGAGAGAGAGAGAGAGAGAGAGAGAGAGAGAGAGAGAGAGAGAGAGAGAGAGAGAGAGAGAGAGAGAAAGAGAATGAACTCATCCACATAAACTCCCCATCCAGTCAGTCTGTCAACTACTGAGTCGTTCAGTAATACACACACACACACACACACACACACACACACACACACACACACACACGAACCAACAAACACGCTCGATACATACATACACACCCAAGAGCTTCCTTCCATAAGAGTTGTAATTACAAGTGAACACGCTAATTATTGTTTGTCTCTACAGCGTAATGAGACTATAACTCACCTGGTTATGGTTTACCATTAACCCCAAGTTTTGTGCTAATAATTTACGCCTACATTCTCCCTCCTTCCTCCTCTTCTTGCAAGTGGGGATCAAATGGGATTTTTGTGCTGGAACCAACTCGCTGGAAGGGATCAGATCCCCTTGGTGTTGTTG